CTCTGTTCTCCCAAACATTTTTGAAATAGCCGTGTATGTCAAAGTACTGAGACACATAGCTGTTTTATCCTTAAATAATAAAACTATCAATGGAAGTATAGTCATGTATGGGAAACCTCAGGGGATTTATTGTAATGCAAATTTGCTGTACGTAAATTAATTCAGACGATGCTGTACGTAAATTAATTCAGACGATGCTGTACATAAATTAATTCCGACGACAATTGGCATACACTTTGTTCTTTTAATTATTTAGTGCAATGTTAATGAGAAATTGTTTAAATACTATAAAAAAGGAGTGCAACCAAGCAAAATAATCTTGTGGCTTAATGGTTAGGTTTAGGGTTATGTGGTAGGAAAGCACTCATTTTAAGRGTTCACTGAGGTTCGATTACCCAGATCAATGTTTTTTACTAAGTGAGGAGAACCAAAATCCTTAAAATATTATAAGTCRCACTTGTTGGTTCAGAAAGCTATGACGTAATTGGTAACACAGTACACAAAGTGCCTTATCAATCAATCAAACATTAATTATTGATTAACATTAGACCTATTGATTCACTGTTGACCAATCAATGACCAAACTAACAATATAAARTTATGAGAATTAACCAAATCAATGTAAGTTAATAACAATAAATATGAATTAATACATAATAAACAAGATGATTGATCGCCAATTAAAGGGATACCCCGACAGAGCTCGTTGATTATCATCGATTAGTTACTGATTGCTATCGATTTACATTGATTCAATCGATTAAGTTATTCACAAGGTTTTTTCACATTTAATACAAAAACTGGATAATCTTAAAATGCAAAAAAACCTGCATTAATTTTTTTTTACATGGTAGAGTAAAGAGCTATCTATAAGCTTAAGTATTGCAGATGTTTTGAGCTCACCGATGTTTATCTTCAAAACGCCCAGACAGCCATAAGAATCAACCACTTTTGTGTAGTTCTTCTTTATCGTTTCCGTTTCTAGTTGAGCTAAAACACAAATMATAAYTACTAAGTAATATGCAAAGCTGAACACCCATTTTCGAAGGARTTTTACTTACAGAGCTGAGCAATCGCTCCACTTTCAAAAAGTAAAGTTTCTTCTCTATGCTTGCACTCAAGAAGGATTGATACTGGATCTCGGTCAGTTTTCGTGTAACAAGTGAATGCTTTTCCAATCATAATGATGACATTTGAAAGATCCTTACTTCAGTTACTAGTTTACATTATTCACAATACCAAAAAAACTGTGATTCCGACATTTTGAGGAGCGAAAATTCCGCACTATCTCCCTGCATGTATGAAGATTGTTGTGAATTTGATTTCGGTCACCACAGGAAACCCAAACACCCAAAAAGATGTACAGACAAATTATGTATGTAGCGAAAAATCATAGCTTCGTTTTTAATGAAAATCCTAACATCAATTAAAATGATAATTTACTAATATCAAACTTAGAAATCTTCCAAGAATATCTGTTCAAGATAAATGAAGACAATTTTAAGGTTCCCTGTGTTGGGCTTCCTTTGAAACCCTTCCTTCTGAAACCGCTGTGCAATCGTACTAACCAAGGAGCCTGTGGATTGGAATGATTTGGACTTCAGGAATATCAAAATAAAGGAATAGAACAGTCAAGACACGGATGCCAAACTGAAACAGCTCGGAACAATAAGTGCGCTATCGTTTGACAGTTTTGTGGTTGGAAGGACTCCATTGTTACAATGGGTTATTGTTAAGTTTTTKAACATTTATTAAATAACGCTGGTTGTTTTGTAAATTTGCATATTTGGCCAAAATTTGCATGTCCTCGTGAATGAGTCACCAAAGCTCAATGTGTATCTAGAATGAATTGCTTTCAGAGAAGGTTGGAGGTTTATAGTCATCACTAACATTTCTTGGCGTCCGTAGTTGTTCAATTTTAGAGGAGAACTGAAAGGAAAGCGGACGGATTTGGTTACGTTTGTTACTTTTGGCTTGATCGAGGAGAAAATATAACATSATAACGAACACCTTCAAACTGCAGAAGGTATAACGGTGGTAACTGGACGACATGGTGAAAACAGTTTGAGACAGCTGTGTTAACGGCCGTTGTGGTTTGTAAATATTCTAGGAATGTATCTCGTGTTTCAGTACGATACTAGCCGGCATTTTAATATATGAATCATCGTTGATCAGACTTTTCATTTAAGCTTATAACCCACCTTGAGCTAATAAAAGCAAACACACTGATCTCGTACGGACACGATTTGAACTACTTGTCCTACTTCAGTGTGCAGTTTCAACAAATTCKAAAGTTTTGCAACTCTTATGATGTAATCACCGTTGAAAGAGTAAAATTATCGAATTCAAATTGACAATATTKAAACAAATCCAGTCTACAAAGGAACTCGATTGTTTAGCAATTTCATCAGGAATAATCTTCAGATTCAGCTAACTGGACCATCGTCGATGTTCATATCTGAAAGWGTAATTTGATACCCATTGCATTTTGGAAGCAGCCGATTGAAGAAGAGCTGGATTCCTATTATGCAAAATGAGATATCTCAGGGTTTTATGTTTTCTATGCATACGACTATGTTCTCCTCGTCGYTCAATCATATTCGCCATTTCAATATGTTTGTTCTTCACAATGTACCTACTTKTAAATACCGGAATGGACTTACCAGAAAGACAGATAAGCGGAGCTATGCAGTTGTGGAAGTCTAAAGTCAGTAAACAAAAAGATTACTTGAAGAGGTAAGTATTTTGATCACTAGACTTAGGTTGTGCGTAGCGTATACAGAAATAAACTAGTTTAGTGGTATTATCTAAATTCCAGACAATACATTTTAATGTTAAAACGTTGTTCAGTCTGTTCGGACAATCGCAAACTGAGTCAATCCCTGCGAAGGGTTTTGATTTAATTTCAGATAATCCTTGCGAGTTGAATGTTATTGACATTYTTATAAACTTTTTGAAATTGAGTTTGAATAATCTTGAAAAAAATGCAAATGTGATATATGCAAACTGACGTTGCTGGCCTTTACAACTGAACAACATTAATTGACTGTAGTTAGATGCGTTACATTTCTATGTGCCRTCCTCCCCTATCTGGGGAAGCCCTATGTTACGGTGACATTTGGTGAAAACATTTGTGATTTGATTTYTTCAAATGACTATACTCTCTTTATTACATAAACTTTCTAAAGAATCGGAATGATCACTGCATTCTCATAAAATAGTTACTGCTAAACTTCAAATTCGGCTCTCATTTATAGAATGATCGAATAAAAAGTAAGTTCTCTCATATACTTTATACTGAAAATCCAGTCAAATTTCTTAGACATGAAGTGGTTCCGGTTTTTCAGGAGCTAAAAAGAAAATTGTATCCTAGCGTTGTTATCCATCCTGTTATGGATACACTCGGGAGGTTGCTAAGCACGATAAAAGCGTAATGAGTGGAATTGGCACGACGCGAAGCGGAGTGCGACTCTAGCTTGTTTAAGTTGTTTTTTTAACAAACGTTTGTCAACTCATAACCTGTCAAGTACCCAAAACTTCAATTTAAATTTGATGTAGAGTAGTTTCCTATATTTTGACACAATTGTTCAGAAGTTAGCCAGGTCTTTGCATTTTTTTAAACGCGGAAAATTAATGAATTGTTCCACTTAAACTTAGTGTTCATTTTCTGTTGTTATATTTTTGCAGCTTTGGTAAAGGGTTTTCTCCTCAGAGACCGAAAGTCATAAAAGTAGGACCACCAGCTCTACTATCGGAATTCGTGTCCATGGAAGGYGAATGTCTGAACCAAGGGACAAAGGAAATAAAAGAAGGAAAGTGTATTTGCAAGGATGGTTGGTTTGAGAAATCGTGCAACGTCCCAGAATCGATTTATTTTGCGAACCAAATACAAAYAAGCTTACTGCAATTACGATATAGCGCGCGGCGTATCGTGTACGCCGTGCYATTCAACCACGAATTTGCAATGTTAGAAGCTATCCTTCACGACTTATACGACCTGATCGATGTATTCATTATAATGGAATCGCCATATACGGCATTTGGGGTGCGTAAACCCATCCGACTGTTGCCACGTTTACATAGAGGGTAYCTGAAGAYGTTCCACCCAAAAATGATGTATCTGTACCTTGACCATTTTCCTACTGGTGGTAAAAAACATGGACATTTTGCTGATTCGTACCTAAGGTCYTATCTAGGGAAAAGGGGGATGCCCTTTATAAGAAAYCTTGCTGACGATGATCTGTTTTTAGTGTTTGACATTGACGAGATACCGTCACGTGATTCCTTAATATTCCTTAAGGTGCACAACCGTTACCCAGAACCGTTTGGCTTCCGTTTCCGGTGGTCTGCGTTTGGTTATTTCTGGAAACATCGCCATTATAGTCAAGTTCCGGCTGGTTGTACTGTTGGAATGCTAAGAAAAGTATACCATAATGATTCCAATATGGTGCGTGACGTACATCACGGCGTGACTAAAAACCGCAGACAGGAATTTATAGAATATCGTCAAACTACTTTGGTTCGTTCGTGGTTTATTGGTGAAGTAGGRCACTTTGCTGGCTGGCATTGTTCTAGTTGTTTCAAACTAGAAGGAATACGGATTAAATTTATGTCCGCTCAAAATGCTGATTGGCCGCGTTGGGGTAGCATACCTGAAAAGATGGATCTCAAATTTCTTAGAAAAATGGTTCGCGATGGTAAATGGTTTGATGGAAGTCCTCTTAATAATAGAGCCGTTGCMAAAATGGCCGAACCCGATATTGATGACTTTTATGCACCTCCCTACATATTAAAAAACCCTGAAAAGTTTAACTACTTGCTGAGGAACATATWTTTAGATGATGAAGAGATTGAAGGGGACGAAGAAGATGATATTAAAGTTTTATATAGTTTAGGTCAATCAATTTCAGTTGCTGAAAATTTTGGACTTTGGACCATAGGTATAATAGTTTTAGAATTATATGTTTTGAATTAACGATTTTATTAGACTCTACAAAGTAAATCAGACAAGCAGGAATGATATTCATTAAGAGATTTTTCACTAGTCATGTGATACATTATGTATAAGGTCGTATAAAGTATTTTTGCAAAGGGAGAATATGTGATGAACAACTCTGTAATGTAATTCAAGGCGTACATWGCATTTTACTAAATATAAAAAATGTGTCCCACGTATATACAGCGATAAATCTTGCATCAGAAGCGGTTATAACCCTCTAACTGCTCTATCGCATGAGTGTTCTTTATTGATGCTGTCCGAGTGTCTTTATAGCCTTCCTGCAACTCGCCATGCTATCATATTCCTCGAAACATGTCAAAATAAGTGAACAGATTCACGGCGCTAAGCTGACCATACGAGAGAAACCGTTTCTTGCTTTGCGGTATATTTTTTCCAGTTTGTCGTCATTTGAATGCGTCTTGCGGTTCTCAAAAGATGATCTTCAATTTGAAGTTGGTCAAGCACTTTATCGTTAGGTTTTGGGAAAGCAACACTTGTAGCGCTGGATTCTAATCCTCCTGCTTAGTCTTCAGAAATATTCTTAGTTCCTTGCCACATAATATGTGCATGAAAGTTTTTATGTGTACATCATTGCCAGCTGTGTTGATTCCATGAYCATATTCTAATCGAGCAATTTTTCCTTAAAAAAACACACACTAAAAACTAACAAAATCAGAAGAAGAAGAGGAAGAAAAAACTTTTAAAAGTCTTGGTAAAGTTGGATTTCATTTTGTTTTGGATCTTTTCAGCAGTCGCATAACTAGGAATTTTTAACCTATTTGTTTAATGTTAGATCTCCTTTGACGAGGTCCATTTGACAGTCGCATCAAAGGCGGGTCCAGCCTTCTACTAGCTAAGGACCGCATTGTACATCCGCTTTTATAGGGATTTTTCGTTTAAAAAATAACTGAGAATTTGGTAGAGGTGTTGCCTCATAATTAACGATAAGAAAACTGACAATAAATCATTATCAGTTCTGACCTTCGTTGACCTTGGGATCGTTTTAAACGTTAATTTCTCGTTTCTTTAATATATCTCCGTTCGACTTTAAATTCACAAATTTAGCTAGGTTTGTGGTTGTTATTCTATAACTCATTAAAAATTTATGAGCTATCAGTCCAGTGAGCATCTAACTATTGGGTCACATGATGGACCTTTATATCCGATAAAGTACTGACGTTTTATTAATCAGTTCTATATCAGATATATAGAACTGATGTTTTATTAATCAGTTCTATTACTTATAATAAAGAACTGATCAAGTTCATCAGCGCTTTATCGCAACCTAAMACTACTGWGCAAAGTTCTCAGTTTTAATGTCGCATCATAGACCTTTGTTAGGTTTTAAATCAGTTAGAATCAATGTGCCGAAATGCACTATAGCTAGACTAGCCGTTTTTTCGTGTGCGATCAAAATTCTTTCAATTGTGGCACAATGCACATGCTCATTAGAAGATTATCACTGTTTTCGAAATTAAAGACCTCGGCCCGAGGCAGTCTTGAATTTCAATGAAAACCCTCGCCTAGTGTTTGAACCTTTATTTCAAAAACTACATAAAACAAAGGTTTCTAAACAATGTTCAGCTACTTTGGTTTAGGAGATATTGAGGCTTAAACTAAGTCACGTGACCTATTTCATGCAATATCTCTTAAACCATGAATTCAAAACAGGTTTTCCAAGCAGATGTTTAAAAGGCTCTGAATTAAGGGTCTTTCTAACATGATTTACTATCAGTGTGCAAAGTTTCGACAATTTTCATCACATTTTCGCTTCAAAACAGAAATAAATGTATTTTCCCAAATTTACCCTCTAACCTAGTTTTTTAAAGAAATCGGTTTCTCGGCAATAAAGTGCAATATTCACGACTTTCCATACTCAGGTTCAGTGATCACGAACAAAGCATTGAAGCGAGGCGTCAAGGAACACTGATCACAGATCTTTTATTTTATGCCCATTGTGCCTTGACGCCTCGGTTTAATGCTTTGTTCATGATCACTGAATCTGAGTATGGAAAGTCGTGAATRGAWGGSAACACATGGTTGTCAAAAGGACAACAACTTAGAAACTGAATAAACATCACGAGGTTAAGAGTCGTATACGCCATAGCCTGACTCAAGGAGACACGTCATTACTTGGRCCCGATAGGTGTACGTGGTCATGAGACAATCATATGACTAACCTGTTATATCTTGCCTTTGAAAGTAACGCGGGCTTGTATATCGTACAAAACGCATGCGCAAACCTTTGTTAATAATTCTTGAATCTTTTCTGTAATAAAAATATGTGTTGAAATTTCCGTCTCTTAACAAGATCACAAGGATCGACCCGGGGGGAGGTATTCCCCCCCAAAAAAATTGAGTGGGGGTGTTCCGCTGGGACCTCAAAACCCTGACCCTGTTCCAGAGTGAAATCGCTGAAAACTATGCCCTGTTCCAGAGTAAAATGCCCGAAAACGATAAGCTTGCGTGTAGACCGGATCTTTACCCCGTAAATTTTTACCCAGCATCAATAATTCCGGAATTAAAGCCTGACCCTATTCCAGAGTAAAATCGCTGAAAACGATGATACCCTGGTTGGCGGCACGTCCCCGTATAGCGAATATAGGGTAGTACCCCCCGGTGAATGGACGAAGAGCAAGATTATCCTTCTCCGATTCTAGACTATGTAAGACTGTAAAGTTCTGACGGCTAACATATATCATTATATCGGGTGCATCACTGGTAATGTTATGTGATTTTCGTGTGTTTTTCCCGCTAAAACAGATAAAAAATCATTCGAATATTTTAAAATTATGTTTAAAAGATTAACGAGTACTATCTAAGTCATATAATAATAAAGGTTAATATACAAACAT